CTGCCTCTGCCTCCTGAGTGCTGGGATTAAAGGTGTGTGCCACCACACTAAAAAAACATTTCTATCTATATCCCTCAGCATCCAAGCCACTGAACAGATACAATAAAGAGATTAGAAAAACCTAGTTGTTGCCCAGTTACCTGGAAATAATTGTTTCTGGAAAAAAACTTTAGTGGTGAGTCAGTGATTGCTGGTGTGGCTGGATTATGAATTTTTATTTCCCATCACAGTCTTTTTGCTCTCTAGGTATTCCTTGGTATTGTTGTCAAGGTCAAATTTGTCTCCTTTTTGAAAAATAAGTAGCTCATATTAAGTCAAGCATCCCACCTTGTTACCGTGTAATTCCTGACAGTGACAAAGGGCTTACTTTGATGGTGCAAGACTGCCCTTGTAAACAGTAAACATTGAAGGACCATCCTCACTCATTTGCCACTGTGAGATAGGCGTGGTCCAAGGGTGCCCCCTTGCGGTCAAGAAGACTCACTCCTTTCCGATTTCCCTCAAGCCATTCATTGAAAAGACAGACTGTCATTTGACTGTTCACAAAATGTCTTCTGGGCAGAAGCTTTAGCCTGGGATTTGAGGATCTGCTTACACAGAATCTTTTCCAATTCACTTGAGAGGCCAATTTCTTTGTTTCAAACCCTCAGAGTCCTGTGAGGAGTCGCAGCCAGATTGATTATTGGTTGTTTTAGCACAGACAGACACAGTTGTGGTCTTTGAGCAACATGAAAAATGGCTGTCGCTCATAGCCCACAGCGGCTGAGCTAGCCTCGCAGAGAGCAGGAGCTGGCAGGGCACAGCTAAAGATGCTAATGTCGTTTTGCTAGAAGGCAACTGGGGGAAAATGTAGTGTGTGGGAAGCCAAGGATAATTTAAGTGTGTTACTCTAAGGGGGACTTAAATTTTCCTGAGGGTATGAGCTAAGTTCAAAAAGCTACTGTTCAAAAAGCAAAGGCTTTACTGTTGAAAGGGTTTTGCTGCATGATACACTGGGTGAGTGATATGAACAGAGATGGTATTTTTTTCTTCCTGTGTTTAGCCACAAATGAAATAGCCTTGGAATGATTATAAGCATTTGAAGAATGTCAAATTGACTCAGAAACAAGAACCCAAACCTGTGCCCCCTCCTCCCTGAACCCACAGCCTGGTTGCTTAGCTGCCAATCCTCTGCTAACAGCTTCCTTTTAGACATACCTTATACTCCCTGCAGATTTCAACAAGGTAACAGCTTTGTGTAAATCTACAAAAATCAACAAAAGCAGCAGCAATAATAAATTACCTGTAACTCCAATCCACATTTCCTCCCAAGCTATGTAAATAGATGCTGGGAATGAGCTGAATGTGATGCCTAGAAAATGTGGGCATTATTCCTGCCGTTCATCTGAGTGCTGTTGATGACTGTGAGCTAATTCCAATACATATTGTTCCAGAAAACTGTGTGGAAGTGAAATTATCGTTCTCTCATGACTGGCAAGCAGCAAGAGCAACTGTAAAATGCAGCTCTGAGAAGAGCCTTCCTAACCCAACGTGACTGCATCTAGTCCCTTCTCTCTTCATAGCCACAGCAAGGGAAATTTGATGGTGCTCTTATTGTTCAGAGAGGAGAGTAGGTCACATTTGGAATGTTAAGCATATTTGTTCTTATTCCCTGGGTGGAAAGCCTTGTTGATTGTAAGGCTTTTTCATAGTTCTTTTTAATAAACTAAAGGAACGTGCCTTGCTCTGGGGGACTGTCATCCCACAGATTTGCTTTCAAGCACCCCTCACACTCGCCTGGGCACCACCATCTCCTAAAAGCGACATCTCGCCAGATGCACACAAGATCACATCCTACTTCCCCTTCCCCAGCTGCTTGAGACTGATGTGGCATTGGAGCTTCATGGGTTTCCTGCCTACTGCTGGGTGGCTGGGGCAGCTAGCCAGCAGCCCTAGCAAAGGGCCTGGAAGCCATCTGAGTCCCAGCTCAGCTGGGGATGAGAGGGAAGAGGAAGGAGGACAGCAGGAGCACTTCCTGCAGCGTTCTCAGGACTCTGGAAAGCAGGCCTATGCTATAGTTTCAGGAGCACAGAAATACCACAGAGCTACATCATCAGCGAACAGTGAACACAGGCTATGCACACCCTTCTGGCTTGGTGTTTTGCATAAAGCCACCACTAATCAATGAGAACTATTGTTGGAATACTGAACTAGGAATGCAATGATCCAGAAAAGCAGGGCCTGTTCTGTTCTATCTGTCCTCCTTCCCTCCCTCCCTCCCTCCCTCCCTCCCTCCCTCCCTCCATCTCTCCCGCCCCTTCCCTTCCTCTGTCCTTCCTTTTTTCCTTCACCTCTCTCTATTGCTGCTCACGTTTTCTCTCCACTCTCCTCCTCTTTTCTTCTTTTAAAAGTAGCTAGATGCGAGTTAGTCACAAGATGATTATGTACAAGTAAGTGCCTCAGTGGAACTCACACATGGGGAGACTTACCAGTTCTCTACAAGGAGATAAGAAAGGACATCACTTTTAAGAAAAACTCCCTTAATTCTAGAAATAGAAGAGGAAGGTGAGGCTCAAAGTGTGCTGATAAGAAGAAAGGGGAAGACAGGTTGACACTAGGCCAGGCCATCCCTGAGCTAGCAGGAGCTGGAACCTAGGGCTTTCTGTCAGCGGCAGTGGAGAATCACTTATTTAAGATCCAGATAATTTTCATTTTGGAGGGATATGATAGTGTTTGTTTGTTAAAAGAATGTCCATTGTTTTCTTTTTCAGTTATTAATGGTCACACCCTGTGTTTGAGGCTATTACTCGAAATTGCAGACAACCCGGAAGTGGTTGACCTGAAAGACGCCAAAGGACAGTAAGTGTTCTCAGCATTGTCTGGAGTTGACATGCCAATCACAGACATCATTGGTTTGTTGAGCAGTGAAAGGGGCTGACTACTGAATTCTAGGATGGGAGTATATCTCTGGGTGAGAATCATAGATAAAGACCCTTGAATAACGGGGCTGTACCACAGCATGTGTCTAAGAGAAGTGCTGGTGGGGTCGCATATTTTGATGAAAAAGATTATCTTTTTTTCTGGCTGTGCCATGTTTCTGGCTCTTTTTAATAGTTCCTCTTTCTACCCATCTAACCTCAGGTAAAGTTGCCACATTCCCACTTTTTAATTAACAGTGGCAAAAGGTGAGACCTCAAGAGATTGTCTCCATTGCTAAATATCCTTTAGATTTTTGTCCTTTCTTGAGTTTGTTTTTCTTGTCTGTTGGCCTATTCTCCACCCAGTCTTTTCTTACAAATAGAAAATGCACAGCAGAAAAGTTCTAGTTCCTATCTCCCGATGCATGCGTTTGAGTGTCAGTCAAACCAAGAACACTGCCTCCTGTGTCTAGCACTGGTCTTTCCTTTAGATTAGTCAGGTTTTTCTTCAAAGCAATTTGTCCATCCAAATGTAACCTTGAGCAGAAGTCCGACATAGACTGCTATCAAAGTAGAGCTGTTCTTATAGAAGCAAGAGGGTCTTCTACCTTCACATACCCCACACAGTTGACACCGTAAAGGCCATATGTACTGAAAATGAGAGGAGTAATGTGACTATTTCAGGTGAGCCCTTCCCCTGCCCCAGCCCTATGGATCACTCCATTGACGCCATTCCATGTGACCTCTAGAGCAGAGATGGAACTTTTGTTTCACATGGCATCGCATAGCATACAGTAGCAAATTAGGTAATATTAGAAATATTGGGTGGTATTAGAAAATATTAAGAAGTATTAGAAAATATTGAGCAATTGCCAAGAATAAAAAGAGAACTGTCCTTCCACTGGAAGGTATTTCTTGATCTCACTTTTAAAAGCCCATTTATCTCTCTCCCTAGAACCCCCCTGATGCTTGCAGTAGCATATGGACACATTGATGCTGTTTCATTATTACTTGAAAAGGAAGCAAACATAGATGCTGTTGATATCATGGGATGCACAGCTTTACATAGAGGGGTATGTACATCCTTCTCAGTCTTAGTCAAGAACTTTTTCAGTGAGCTTGCTTCTTTTTTCCTGATGTGAATTTTTAGGGAAAAGAAGTTTGTTTCATAATAGAACCAGTTGGCTTTAGATAGTCAAAAAGAAATTAGGAAATTATACAAAGATATAATAATAAAAGCTACTATTAGGTCCTGCCCTTAAAATTTCATGCTAGATTGTGATAATTGATATGCAAACACCTACTGTGGGTGGGATCGGTTCTTCTTTCTGATTATAAAATGTACATCATAGAAAATTTCCAAAATGTGTTTTTAAAGCACAGAGGAAGAAAAATCACAATTACTGGCAATCATACCTCCTGAAGATTACCATTTTTAAAGGAGAAAAAAAGATAGATAGATAGATAGATAGATAGATAGATAGATAGATATAGATATACAGACTTTTTTCTATGCATAGAATTTTTTAAAAATTTAAAGACAGTAATGAAGAGCCTATGTGGAATCTGTTTCTTCTCTTAGTATATATAAAGGGCCATTTTCCATGTCATGAAATATTTTTCTACATGATCATTTCTAATACTCCATTGTGTGCAAGTACCAAAATGTATTCAGTAATTTTTGAGCAGTGGTTTTGAGCAGTCATGCTGTTTCTAATTACTCTTTATTATACACGAGGGCAACCCTATAGGCAGTTCTTTGTACACATCTGATGAATTGTTCTTTTAAAAGGACAAAAATAACTTTTGAACAAAGTCAAAAATCATAAAAAAAATTAAACTCAAAGTAATGGTGACAGATGCACAAATCCCATGCAAGCTCAACCCAGACAAAATCCCAACATAGATATGGGGAAGTGGGTAAGAAAACCCATCCCAAATTTCTAAGGAAATTTTGGCAACTGATGGCTGCTGGGAGGGGAAGAGATAGTCTCTTACAGGGATGGGACTCTTGGTAGGTTAACCAGGCTCCAGTAGATGGACCAACACTGAAGGACATTTGGGGACACAAATTAGACTCTATATTCTTTGTTATGCATATAATAGAGTACATTAAATTAAGTGGGGGGCAATAAGGGGAGGTGCAGGTAGGGAAGGGGATTGAAATACCGTCAAATTATATTGTATGGAAATCACAAAAATTCAACTAAAAATGTTTTTAAAAATCATAAAATTGTTATATGGGAACGGTGCCAAAACCTAGTAAGTGACAAAAAGAGGAACTTTATGTGGTTATTGTCACAATCACAGTTCTTACTTCTTGAGTACTTCCTGTGGGCCATGCAGCAGGCCTTTATATGCACAGCCTTGCACATGTATCCACCAGTGACAGCCTATATATACAATGGTGGTCTCATAGATTATAATGGAGCTGAAAAATTCCTATCACTTATAATTTTTACTACACCTTTGCTTTTTCTTTTTTTTTATTTAAGATATTTTATTATTTTTATTTTATGTGTTTAAGTGTTTTGCCTGCATGTATGTAAGTGTACCTGTGTCATGCAAAGCCCACAGAGGGCAGAGAGGGTGTTATATCCCCTGGGACTGGAGTTTGGGACAGTTGTTAGCTGCCGTATGGGTGTTTGGAATTGAACCCAGGTCCTCTGGAAGAACATGCCTTCTTAACTGCTAAGCCATTTATCCAGCCCCACCTTTGCTGTTTATATACAGATACTTGCCACAGTGTAACAGTGCCTACAATGTTCGACAGGGTAACAAGCTGTACAAACAAGGTTTGTAGCTTAGAATTGATAGGCTCTGTGGTCTAGCCCAGGAGTATAGTAGACCAGACTTTCTAGGTTTGTGTAAATGTGCTCTGTAATGTTCTCAGAACGCATGCCCATCTCCACTACAAGCATCACATGCCTGTATTATCTCCTTAGTAGTCCACAACCTGTGAGAGCATTGTTTCTATGTCTGTTTACAGGTGATAAAGTGAGTCAGAGGGACAGAATAACTTACGGCTTGATGGCAGGATTGACCATGTTCTCCTGATTCTAAAGCTGTTATTTTCTACTATATCATGATACCTTTCATGGTATGTTTAGAGAGATATCCCCAAGATGATTGTCACAGGCTTTTCTGATAGGAATTTTGCTAGAGTTGTTCAACCTTGCACCCCTGAAGAGCATTCCTTTTCCCTGGGGCCAGGCAGAGGCCCTCCAGTGTCACCTAGCTAACAGCTTTGTTTTCTACGTCTTCTGCCCTTCTGAGGTTTGTTTTATTTTAATTGCAATATGCCAGATTATGACAGGACACGAGGAGTGTGTTCAGATGCTGCTGGAACAGGAAGTGGCAATCCTCTGTAAAGATTCCCGAGGGAGGACACCCTTGCACTACGCAGCTGCGCGGGGCCATGCCACGTGGCTGAGTGAGCTGCTCCAGCTCGCTCTTTCCGAGGAGGACTGCTGTCTCAAGGACAACCAAGGCTACACACCACTGCACTGGGCTTGTTATAATGGTGAGTTGCATGTCATCTGACTGATTCCACTAGACTAGCTGGCCCAGAGCCTCTGGAAACTCAGTAGAAGTGAGAACATTACATAATGCCACAAACTGTGGTTTCCAGTTTTTCTGCATCCCAGATATAGTTTTTGTCTGTCTTTTGGTTGTTTTAAATAGACCTCCCCATCCTCACCCCATGGCTGCCATGATACTTTGAGTAAAAATTGGCTTTCCTCTTTTTGTTAATCAGTAACATATAACTCCTCATCAGAATCACCAGTGGACTTAAGCCGTTTTAATCAGTTTCGAATCGGTATCAGATAACTAGGAATCACACAAAGTATTAAAATAATAAAGGTTAAAAACAAACCAATATATATGGTATAGTACCCTATCATGGGTAAATAGTGGATGTGTGGTTTATATTTTGATTTTTCTTTTTTGTATTATTATTTCGTATTTTCTTTGTTGTACTTACTGTTTTGGAGATTAAACTTTTTATTTTACTTATTTGAAAAAAGAAATGAAAACTGTTTCCAATTCATAAATTCCAATTCATAAATACTGAAGTGAGCTCAGTTGGTAGACCGCTTACCAAGCATGCACAAAGTGCTCAGTTCAGTCCCCAGGACTACATAAAACTAGGTGTCACATGCTTATAATCCCATCACTCAGCAGGTTGAGGCAGAAGGATCAGAAGTTCAGTGCCACCTGCTGCTGTATAATAAGTACAGGTCAACCTGAGCTTTTCAAAGAAGCAAAACAAAACAAAAATTCCAACAAAATATTCACATTTTTGACTTCCAAACCCACTTTGATATAATTTTATAGCTTTCATAATTTTTCCTCTGATATTATAAACACAAATATATATCTACTTTAGGTAGAATGATAAGAAAAAACCTAGCATCCCATAGCTTTTTTTTCATTAGTGTTCACTTGACATCATATTGGAGAACATTCTTATAAGTTGTATGTATCCCTCTCAGATACATACATACCCTCTCAGAACTTAATGTTTATTTAACCAGATCCCTTTTGGTGGGCATTCAGATTGCTTTTAGGATTTTTTCCTATTACAAACACTATGACAGTATGTATGTTCATATTATAGAACAAAAAATCTTATCAAATTGTTTCCAGAAGTGAATTTTTTGAGTAAGAATGCATGTTTTAAATTGGAACACACACCACTTTGCATAAAAGGGTGTCGTATGTATACTCCACCAAATGTGTATGAAAGCGTTCTCCTACAACTTTGTCGGCCCAGGATGAGTCTACATCTTTTTATTTCTGTCATATTTAAGGAGAAGACCATGTATCTCATTGTGTAAATTTGCAGCTCTCTGTCTAATACTGTATTTACTGGCTGTTGTTCTCTTTCTGGAAATGACCTTTTGCATCCGTGCTGGCTTTCCCCCTACTGAATGGCTTATATTTTCTCATAGGTTTGGGATTGCACCCTTGCCTTAGCAATGTGAATACTCTGTGTTGTGTGTATTGCAAAGATTTTGTTCCTTGTTTGAGACGCCTTTTTCCATGCAGACGTTTTGAGTTCTGTGTAGGTGAATCTTTCATCCATGGTCTCTTGGCAACCAGTCTTGTTTCAGATGGTGTCCTACCCCTAAGATAACGGATGTTTCCTCCATGTGTGTCTTATTCTGCGTCTGTAACTTTATATTTGCATTTTAATTTCATTAAGATTTTTAATTTAGAAATTATTACTTCTAGAAAGTTTTTGTGTTCTAATTATACTGACTTAAGACCTCTCATATTTTCATTAGTCTTTTTTTTTTAATTGGTTCTGCCTTAATAACAGGCAATTTTTCTATGTATCAGTTTAGTTTTACTCCCCTCCTGCCTTTGGAGGATTGTGAATTTTTTACCTAAAATGATTTTTTTTAACCTACAATCTGTGGTCTCTCTCTGTCAGTGGAGAATCCATGTTAGGAAAAGTAAAGTTCTGTTAGAGTATCAGCTGTGAGAGCAGACATAAACCTGCCAGGGACCACATCCTCTTCTCAGGAGTGGCTTAGGAGGGCTCTCTGCCCTTATGCCTTTCCAGGTACAAGCAGAGAAGGAGGAGCTGACTTTTCCCAACCAGTGCACCCTTCCAGAGCACCCTTTCTCCAGGTCTGAGGCTCAAGCTCCCATCTTCCCAGATTCTCCTTCAATGGGCATTGTGAAATATTGAAAGTAGTTTATTGATCCCCGGTCTTGCGGTCTTGACTGCCTTGAGGACTTGAGGACTGGAATGTGCAGGTGCTGCCCTAAGCTGTGGTTTTGGGGGTCATATTAGCTGAGGGGCTAAGGTGTCTGGACCATTGAGGGAGAGTTGGCTGCAGCTAGAGAGCTGGACAGCGTCAGTCACTAGCTTCCCATGTTCATCTCCTCATCTGCTTCTCAGTCCTCACAGCACTGCCGCCTTGTCTACACCAAAGGTTTGATTTGAGCTTTCTTATTTCACTCTGCCCAATCTTCATTATTTTGGGGTAGACATGAGGGAACTTTCACTAAATTAGCCCTCAGGTCAGCCATGAAGAGGTTCTGGGCCATTGATTTGTTACAAAGCCAACTGGCAGTGCCCTCCTTCCTGCCCTATCATTGTACAGCATGTTCCAAAGCACATTCAGGTCCTTTATGGGGTAAAGCATTTATCATCCTGTGACATGGGTAAGGGGGAGGGTTTTCCCAGGCCAACTGTGAATATGTACAGGAAACTGAGGCCCAGAGAGTCCCAAATAAATTGTCTCATGTCATGTAACAAGTGAGTTGGCAGAACTGGATTTAAAAGTCACCTGTCACTTTTGTTAAACATAATCTCCCACATTGATTCATCTACTAACTTTAAAAAATACTTACTGGATGCCCAGTGTGTGCCAGGTGCCTCTTAAAACACTTACATAGGGGACTGGAGAGATGACTCAGCAGTTCAGTGCACTTGCTGCTCTTGAAGTAGACCTGAGTTCACATCCCAGGATCCTCATGGTAGCTCACAATATAACTCCAGGTCCAGGGAATCCCCGGGTGTGGTGGTGCACGCCTTTAATCCTAGCACTTGGGAGGCAGAGGCAGGTGGATCTCTGTGAGTTCAAGGCCAGCCTGGTCTACATAGTGAGTTCCAGGACAGCTGGGGCCACAGGAAAACCCAAAAAGAACAACAACAAAAAAAAAAGATACATTATTTTACAGTTAAAGCCTTTTTAAAAAAATTTTCTGCAAATCACTTCTCCCTTTCACTAGAGAATCACATCACCCCTTCACTTGAGTGCATAACTTTAAGTTAACTTATTTGTGTGGGTAAAAGGAAAATTCCCTATTATAAGCATGTGCAAATTGAAGCATGCCAATGTTAGGCATCTATCAAGAGCTGAGGGTGACACAGAATGTATTCTGCTTACAAATGAGGTATCTTCTTTATCTCTCTCTGCCATGCCATATGGCCTTCACTGTTTGATTTGTTCATTATGTCTCAGAACACCTGTGAGCATAGCTAATAACATTTTGGCATTTTGTTAATTTTACTTCATACAGAGTCAACATTTAGCCAATTCAGGAAAATTCATATACTAGAATCTAACACTTAATGAGAAATTAAAAAGCAGCAGGCAGTATTTGATGAAAGTTTCTTTTTTGGGAGCTCCCTAAATTCTTTTGATTCCTTGCAGGTAATGAAAACTGTATAGAGGTACTTTTGGAGCAAAAATGTTTTCGCAAATTTATTGGTAATCCCTTTACTCCACTGCACTGTGCAATGTAAGTAGAAATGTGGGAAGTTGATCCTGCTGCTTTTGCTCTTTTAGCTACATGGAGAAAAATGGCCTTTTAGAAATGGAAAAAGCATTTAGATTACAGATAAGAGTAAAATATTCCACTCTGCTGCTAAAGACAAATAGGTCTACTAGCAAAGCCTGGCCTCTCTTGTTAATGATTTCCCAGGAGCCGCAGTGCCAAGGTGACTCACTACCGCATTGGGAAGCCATGAGGGGGTGGGCTGAGAGATATGCTTCATAGAGGTGAAGAATTCTTCAATGGTAGCCCACATTTGGCAGCCAAGATTAATATCAAGATGCTATTGATGGTTCGATGGCTTCTCTCAGGAAGACTTCTCCATTCTTCCTATTTTCCAAATGTAATTATCCCTTCAGTCTCATAAAGAGAGTGGTTTTTTTTCAGAGGATTCAATGACCTTAGGTCAGACTGCCCTGCCAGGTGGGGTGTAAGAATGGAAGGTGCTTTGTCTTTACATGGCCTGTGGACTTCCCATGGAGGTGGGTCATTTGACTGGAGAGATACTAGAGACATAAAACGGACCAATAAAGAAAGTGTAGGTTATAAAGAATCAGGGTGATTTTAAATGTGAATGATCCATGTCTTTTCCACTTTGGCATCTCTAAACCCCTAAATGGGACCTTGTATAAGTAGTAGGAAGGGAATTCCTGCCAAATTCAGAGGTTCTTAAGAGAAGCAAGAAATTACTGTGTATACCACTGTAACACACCACAAATATTGGCATCAGATTTTTAAAAATGTATCAAATTATTAGACATACAGAACATATAAAAGCAAGATGTGAAGGAATATGTAATTTTACTGAGATTTTTACACTAAAGCTCATTTTCATTTTAGAATAAATGATCATGAAAATTGTGCATCATTGCTACTTGGGGCCATAGATTCCAGTATCGTCAGTTGTAGAGATGACAAAGGCAGGTAAGTGACCCAAAGATGTCCCTTTTGCCTTCAGCCTCAAGTCTTTGTTTTGGGTTGTAGAATAGTAAGCCACCTGCTTTTATTTATGTATAGACTTAATTATTGTAGTGCTGGAAACTAAAATCAGGACCTTATACAACCCAAAAAGTGTTCTACCACTGATCTGCATGCCAGCCCTTGCTTTTGGAGACAGAATCTTGGCGGGCCTTGAACTAATTTTGAAGCCCAGACTGGCTTCAAACTCATAATCCTCTTCCCTCTACCTCCTAAGTGCTAGAACCACAGACATGCTCCTCCAACCTAGACCCTCCAAAACTTTTTTTTATTGAAAAAGTAACATGTAAGCATGTTTTAAACTAAATATTATTAATGATATATAATTTTAAAATGTTTCCCTTTTAGCTCAGAATCCCAAGCCCCTCCTTAGAGAAACAAGTGTGTACTGCTCCTTCTAAACTTTTTTTTGAGTGTTTTCCTGCATGTATGTAAATGTACCTGGAGGCCAGAAGAGGGCAGAAAATCTCCTGGACCTGGAGTTAGGATGGTTGTGAGCTGACATGTGGGCCCTCTGCAAGAGCAGCCAGAGCTTTTGATGGCTGAGCCATCTCTCCAGCTCCTTCTTCCCACTTTTGCTTTTCTCCTGCATATTTTATTCACATCTACAAATATACACATACAAGTATATGTAGATATTATTTTTTTTCACATGAACATTCTAAAAGCATGTTCTGCTTTTAGCATATATTGGAGACTTTTCCATGCCAAAATGCACAGATTGACTTTGTTTGTTAAAGCGACTGTGAGAACACAGTCTATCACAACCTCTGGGACACAGTCAAGTCAGTCCTAAAGGGAAAGTTAATAGCAATAAGCATTCACATTAAAAAAATCTGAGAGAGATCAAATAAGCAACCTAATGGTGCACCTCAAGGCTCTTAAAAACAACAAGCAGCCAATCCCAATCCCAGTAGACAAAACAAGAAATAATGCCAATTAGGGAAGAAATTAATGAAATAGAAACTAAAAGAAAATACATAAAATTAACCAAAGAAAAAATTTGTTTTTTGACTAAGTAAACAAGATCAACAAACCCTTAGCCAATCTGTCAAAAAGAAAGAGGGAGAAGATACAAATTAACAAAATTAGAAGTCAAAAGGGTTATCGTTACAACAGACTACAATGAAATTCACAACATTATTAGAGATTATTTCCTAAACCTATACTCTAAAAAGCTGGAACGACTGAAGAAATAGAAGAATTTCTAAGTGCATATCATCTATCAAAATTAAAACCAGAAGATATAAATAACTTAAAGTCATTACAAGCAGTAAGATAGATACTATAATTAAAAGTTTCCCTTCAAAGAAAAGCCCAGGACTGGACAGCTTTACTGCTGAATTCAATCAAACTTTCAAGGAAGATCTCATACCAATTCTGCTTCACTTCTTCTGCAAATTAGAAAGTGAAGGAACAATACCAAATTCTTCTATAAAACTAGTATTATTCTGATCCCCAAAGCAGGTAGAAATACAACAAAAAAGATAACTAAATAATAATTTCATTAATGAATATAGATGCAAAAACTTCTCAAGAAAGTACTTGGGAACTGAATTCAGGAACATATTTTAAAAAATGATACATCATGACCAAGTGCAATTCATTCCAAAAAGGCAAGGTTAGTTCAACATATGTAAATCAATAAATTTAATACTATATAAGCACAGCAAGGGACAGAAGCCACATAATCATCTCAATTGGTGCTGAAAATGCATTTGACACAATTCAATATGTCATATCTTTATAATAAAACTCTTGTAGAGGTTAGGAACAGATGGAACATACATCAAAATAGTAAAGGCTGTGTACAACAAATCTAGAGCCAACATTATATTATAGAGACACAATGAGAGCATTTCCTCTAAAATCAGGAACAAGACAAGGAGCCTACTCCCCTCTATTGTTTAATGCAGTGCTTAAAGTCTTAGCTGTAGCTATTAGACAAGAGAAAGGCATAAAGGGGTAAAAATAGGAAAGGGAGGAGTCAAACTACCCTTATTTTTCAAGTGACATAATTCAATAGTTAAGAGACCCTATAGAATCTACTAGAAAACTTCTGGATATAATAAATACTTACAGGAAAGCTGCAGGCTACAAAATCAATATTAAAAAATAGCCTTCTTATATACCAATAATATACTCAGGGAAAGAAATTAGAAAAGACATCATATTCAAAATAGCATAAAAAATATTAAGCCCCTAGAAATACACCTAACCAAAGAAGACAAAGACCTCTACAATGAAAACCTTAAGACAGTGCAAAAGGTAATCAAAGAAGATACCAGATGATGGAAAGACCTTCCATGCTCCTGCATTGGCAGAATCAATATTGTGAAAATGGCTGTAGTACAAAAAGTAATGTAGAGATTTAATACAATAGCTATCAAAATTCCACAGTCATGTTTCACATATCTAGAAGAAATAACGCAAGAACCCATATGGAATCACAAAAGACTGTGGTTAGAAAAAGCAGTCCTATGGAATAAGAGCTCAGTGGAGGCAGCAGACTATTCAACCTCAGCTTACACCACAGAGCTGTACTAATAAAGACAGCTTGGTACTGGCACAAAAACAGACAGGTAGACCAATGGAACAGAACAAATACCCAGAAATCAATTGACAAAGCTATGACCACCTAATTCATGACAAAGGAGGAAAAAACATACATTGGAAAAAAGATAGCCTATTCAGTAAATGGTGCTGGCAAAACTGGGGTTTCCACCTGTACAACAATAAAATTAGATCCACTACTTCCAGCTTGTACAAAATCAATTTGAAATGGACCAAAGACTTCAATTTAAAAACCTGAAACCCTGAAACTCCTAGTTGAAAATATAGAGAAATGCTCTTCAGAACATTGGGATAAGCAAGAACTTTCTGAACAGAACATCAGTAGTATAGGATAGGAACTGGCCCAAGGCATCAACAGATGAAATTAAAAGCTTCTGCACAGCAGAGGAAACTATCAGCAAGTTCACACAGTCCACAAAATGGGAGAACATCTTTACCAGCTATACATCAAACAAGGGGCTAATATCCAGAATTTAAAAAGAATTTACAAAAATTAAGTATCAAGGAAATAAAATTACCAATCAACATATCAACTAATGAATTGAATACAGTGTTTTCAACAAAAGAGAAATAAACATGGCCAACAACCATTTTAAAAAGTGTTCAACATCTCTAATCATCAGGGAAATGCAAATTAAAACTACTTTGAGATACCACCTCATCCCAGTTAGACTGGCTATTGTCAAGAAATCTGACAGCAAACAGAGAGGATGTGGAGAAAGAAGAACCCTTATTTTCACTGCTGGTGGGACTGCAAATTAAAACAGACATTATGAACATCAATTTGGATATTCCTTAAAACATTAAAAAGAGAACTACCATATGACCCAGCCACCCCACTCCTGGGCATATATCCAGAGAACTCCATCCCTTACCATAGAGAGATTTGCACTCCCATGTTTATTGCTTTTCTTTTCACTGCACCAAAGTAAAGGAGCCAGTCTAGTTGTCCATCAACAGATAAGTGAATAATGAAAAGCTGCTATAAAAAGAATGAAATATTATTCATCTCTAAAGGAAAATGAAATCACAAAATTCACAGGAAAATTGATGGACCTCGAATGTATAATATTAAATGAGGTCATCCAATCTCAGGAAGTAAAAAAAAAAAACCTCATGATCTCCTCATATGTGGACTCTAGTCTATTATACATACATATACATATGTAGATAAGTGCACATGTGGGTGTACTATAATATTTAGAAAGGAGAACAAGAAATGGTAATTTTTTAAAAAGGCATTTCAATGAGAACTTACATATAGTATACTTTGTATAAATTCTATGACTCCTGTCTTAAGATATATCATATTTTCAATACACGATAAGTGCTTATATGGTAGTATCCACATGTGATTCCACAGAGACTGTTACCTTACAGGGAAAGCTGAATTCTTAATCAAGTTTTTTTTCCCATTGTATGCTGTAACTTTATTTGGTAAATACTAATAAACTTTTAAAAAAGCAAATGGTTACCAAATCTACATGTTATTTCATTGAGTGAATGTATAGTATATTGTTCAACTTGCATTCTTTTGAAGAATATTTACATTGTTTATAATATTTTGCTATTTCAAATAACTGGAAGGCACAGTGAACATTGTCAGATGTGAATATGTCACAAGACCAAGTATATATAGGAGTCCTAGAAATGGGATTACTTAATTAAAAGGTAATATCTTTTTTTCATTTTGATAAGTAATGTCAAATTGACCTCCCAAATAAATCCACCATACATATTGGATAATGTAGGCTTTTAAGGTTTTTATTTAATCAACCAATTACCTACAAATGTAACCCTTAATTGTTTAAGTATCTTTCTAGAAGAGTACACTCACTGGAACTCAAAATTAAAGGGTCAGTAAAGAAGCTAACTTTCTCTTCAGGGCCACTACACAAGGCCTCCCATATCTAAAGAGCACAGTTCACATAGTGGCATGAACATGCTTCTTGGTATTTACTAATGACAAAGTTTAAAGGTAATAACATTGCATTTGTTTGAAATCTTTAGGACACCCCTCCACGCAGCAGCCTTCGCTGATCATGTGGAGTGCTTACAGCTGCTTCTGAGACACGATGCTCAAGTGAATGCAGCTGACCATTCAGGGAAAACAGCACTGATGATGGCTGCAGAGAACGGCCAGGCAGGCGCTGTGGGTACGTACTAGGGCTGTGGATTTAGCGCTTGGACTTCTCCAAACCTCAAAATAAGGTCAGACAGAGAAGCCAGTGTTCTTCAAACATGCACCTCGGAAAGGGGGCCACTACCTATTTTATTGATGTCAGCTATTTGCCCAATTCTTTGTAACTGGAAGACTTTGTAATTGGAAGACTATGACAAAGTGAGCCATCCTTCAGCTAAATGTCTTTATCATTTAGAACCAGTTGTAATAGCAGCATCATTTTGACTGAAAATAATGAAACTGTACTTGATTTTAGCCAAAAGGCTGAGAAGTGGTGAAATAATGAAACTATAGGGACAGTTAAAACTGTCCCCATCAGCCTTCCTTTGGAATAGAACAAATATGGAAATAAACTGTTCCTTCTTTAAAAACCTTAAATATGATGATGTGAGCTGTAATAATTTAAATGCTATTTGTACCCACTTCAAAATGCATATGATTGGTATCTAGTCTAAGTAACTCTCTCTTGTCTTTCTCTATAGATATTCTGGTGAACAGTGCCCAGGCTGATCTGACTGTGAAGGATAAGGACTTGAATACTCCCTTACATCTGGCTAGTAGCAAAGTATGTAATGAATTTAATGAATTGCTACTTAATATTGCAATAATAATACCATAGAATTTCTGTCCATCTTGGAAATGGGTAGCATGGTTTTTAGTTATAGGGTACATTTTCTAGAATGTTGTCACCTGTAAGTGACAATGAAGGGGAGAAGAAAGGGCAGAATCCCAGGCTGATGCAGTATACCCCCCTCATCAGAGTGAATGACACACACACCTCGTGGCATTTGCCACTTGCAGTCCCACCACATTCCCCCTGTCTTGATGCTGACATTGGACCTGTTTTCTGGGTTGTGGTATTACATTTTGGTACCACATTGCAGGTTAGATGTTAGTTCTATGGGTTACAGGCCCTATGCCATTTCCATTGTGTTTCATTTGAAGACACTGTAAGAACACAACCTCACATAATTGCACTGTGAACCAAATAAATGTATCGATGTGCATTCCACTCTTTGACCCTGTTTTCTCATACATACATCAGTGCAAAGGATGTGGTGGATTTCTCTTCCATAAAAGATACATTCACATACATATGTATGTATATATCACTTTAAAAAATGCATTATAGTACAATCCCAGTTGACAGCAGCAGCATCAGAAGTCTCAGCCATTCTTCTTGCTGGCTTGTTTTCTCATTCATGGTCTGGGAATGACAAAGGTGATCAGATTCCAGAAGCTTATGTCCAAGTGCAATGTTTTAGTGAAGGTGACTGCAGTGCTCAGACCTTATTGTGCAAATGAATCACTTGAGGATGTCATTAAAATATAGATTCTGTTCAGACATGTTGGATTATGCCAGTAATCCCAGCACTTGGGAGACTGAGATGAGAGGATCAAGGATTCAAGACCAGTGTGAACTGCATAACAAGAGCCTGTCTCAAAAACAAACAAAAAAACCCACACAAAAAAATAAGATTTAAAAATAAAATACATAATTTATTAGGGCTAAGTTGGACCTAAGATTTTTTATTTTTTATGTTTTCAGTTTTTTTTTTGTTTTTTTTTTTTTTAAGACGGAGTCTTAACTGTTTGTCTCCAAGAGAGATTCAGTATCTCTAATTCCTAGATAATACCAACACTGCTGGTCTATAGGTCTTACTTAGGAAAGGCTTAGAAATCCATAATCCTATAGTTAACAATCGAATTTTTTAATTATCAAGCATCTATTGTCATAAGATCCAGAGATAACTATATCGTTCCTGGTTAAGGGAAAAAAATCATCAGAAACAGGGCTTTTCACAATATCAGGTAGTAAACGAGGGTAGGTGGTGTGGATAACAGGTGCCATGGGAATTCCAGGGATTGTTGGATCACTGGAGCGGTAAGTGTTGGAGGAACCTGATGTATATTTAAAGAGCAGCGTCGAAGGATCTAAAGGATGCTCCTTCCTCCTGCCATTACCCACTGACCTAGCTCAACAAGCATCTGCTTTAGCTCTCTGGACATTAACATTTATCTTGGAAATATTAATATTAAATATGAATAATTTAGATCAGACATATGTTGAACAAGTCCTAATAGGCCTTATTTAGAATCTTAAGAGTGTCTTGGGCCCATTTACATTTTAGAAAAGAAATTACTCAGAAAATAGTCTTGAAGAATGTTTTCCGGGGAGGCTGATATTCAACTTAATGCAGAATCGTGTACCTTCTCATGAATGCTTTTTTGTCTCATATTTCTTGTTTTTCTTCATTAGGGTCATGAAAAATGTGCCTTGTTAATACTTGACAAGATACAAGATGAGAGCCTTATTAATGCCAAAAACAATGCATTGCAGACGTAAGTGCAACAACCAAAGCTTGACTTCAGCCCAGAGTCATAGTATTATTTTTTACTATTTTTTTTGTTCCTGAGAATTTTTACATGTGTACAATGGAATATGATCATACCCACTCACCATTTTCCCCTCCAACTCCCTCACCGATCCTCCAACACCATCTCAACTTCATGTCCTTTTTTTTTTTTCAATTAACCCACTAAGTTAAGTTAGTTCTGCCCATATGTGCATGGGTATGGGACTATCCACTGGAGCATGGGAAACCTATTAGTGACCACATCCTCAAAGAAGAATGTCTCCCTCCCCCCACAGCTATCCACTGCCAATAGCTTCTCAGTAAGGAGTAGGGCCTGGAGATCATCCACTCTGGAATTTTGACTGGCTTGATCTTGTGCAAGTATCCACAGCTTCTGGGAGTTCATGAGTGCACTAGGCGTGGCTTCCTCTTCTTGACGTTTAGACCCACAAACCTGCAATGTTGACTAGAGCTATACAGTTTTAAGTAGAACCCTTATTTTGATATGGCTTCACAGAATTTTGTAAGGTCTTTGTTTTCTTTGCTGGTATTTCTATAGTTTCATTATAAATTTAGTGAGCTGTTAGAAAAATCTTCTGGGCTTATAAAAACTGACATATTTGGAGAAACTATGTGTATTATGTATTAGCATTATATATTCTGACTGGAAAAATGTCAGGTTTATAAATCAGATTCCCAGAATACATTTGAAGGGTTTCTAAGCTATTTGTCTTAATTATATTTTAATATAATTCAATGTAACCAGTGAAGGATCTAAAAACTGCTTTGTTTCCATTTTAGGAAATTATTTATGCATTTGTTTTAAAGGCAAATGAACATCATATTTTTTTCTAATTTAAGATTCTTAAGCAGTATATAGCAGAATATACTGAGACACTATTCTTACTGTAAGGTATTATAATCCAGAAACATCTATGAAGACTTAATAAGAATGGGATTTGAGAACATATATTAGTACCATTCTCTTGATGAGCTGTGAAACAGTGACTCAGACTAGCCAGTAAGAGCCTTCTACAGAGCACACTGGTGAGCTTGAATTCCTCTGTTTGCCTTTGAGCCTGAACGCAGAGTATTTGTAACACTTCCAGAGGAATATGAGCCAAACATGTAAGAAAGTTGGATCATTAATACCTGGAAAAGATATGGTCAACACATCTTTTTTCAAAAGTAAAAATATCCACCCCTTGTAGGGCCCATCATTTCCTACCTCCACCAAGGTGGGGTGTAAGCCTTTAGCACATGGGCCTTTGGAGGACCCCAACTATAGCACTCATACAATATGTGTCATAGTTGCTGTTCCATGTTGTTTTTCAGACCTCTCCACATTGCTGCACGCAATGGCTTGAAGGTGGTAGTTGAGGAGTTGCTGGCCAAAGGAGCCTGCGTACTTTCTGTAGATGAAAATGGTAAGTGGAAAAAGTTATCAGTTGCTAGAGGAAACATGTTGGTTGCAGCTAGAGGACAATGAGAAAGATAGGAGCTGGTTAAGAGCCAGTAAGAATTTTCTCCCCCTTGGAAGTTCCTTGTGTGTAAGAAATGGAACCAGGATTATCTGTCTAGTCTGTCTTTCTGTAAAATACATTGTCTACCTGTTGACCACCATTGCTGTTCATTTTGCATGTAATATCAGCAGTTGAACTCTAACTCCTTAGCATGGTGGTTAAAATATTTTGGGCATTCCTAAAACTTTCAACTTGACCTTGGGAAGTCCAACTGCTTATATTAAGGAGTGAGAGAGAACACATGTCATTATTGCATGTTCAAGGGCTCAGTGGAAACATTTTGCATTTCAGTTCATTCTGAGATCAAACATTCTTGTAACATACAAGGCAGAATTCATATTTCTAGTATAAAAAGTTGGGGAACATGAATAAAAAAATTTTAATTAAGGTCTAGGCTGAAAGAATCTCCTGGTCTATATAACTTCCCCTTTCTAAATGAGCTTATTCTAATCAGAAGCTTTCTACTCTGCTTCCTAACACATTATAAAAACTAGTGAATACTAGAATCATACTAAACTACTGTTTTAGCCACAGTGCCTCTGAGAGAGAAAGAGTATCTTCTGGATAGTTATGAATGAAGTAATTTTTGTAATGTGGCATCTAATTAAAGTACTTTAATGTATTAATGCAACTCAATTAACTGCTTATTACAGGTGTTGGAATTAGCAGCCCATGCCTATATCTCAGAAGTAAGCAGCTATGCTGACATCTTAGCTGACTCTTTAGTTTTGGTTTTGCAGCCCCACGTACCCTAGCATGTACCCTGCTCTATTCCTAACCTGGCTCATCTAGGAAGTACAAAAAGTTCTTTTACCCCATCTCCTTGGTTTTCCCACCTCACCTTCCTCATCCTTCGATCACCTCTAGATACCTTAGGGTTAGCATGCAGAAGCTCACTGTTTTTCTCCAAAATGTAGAGACCAGAATAAATTTGTTTCCTCCCTCCCTGGTATGAATATCCACCTCTTAGGTGTATTCTGTCTATCGCTGTGTTAGGAACAAGAGCCCCATGCCAGTGGAATGTAGGCTGCCTGTCTAAAGAATCTAGTTGCAGCCCTGGGAACACTTGGGGCCATTCGGTATAGCCCTGCATAATAATTCTAGCACTCCTCACTGCCCTTCCGGCAATGGAATGTTAGGAGTTTTCTTTTGTTGTTAGCTATAAAGAAGAATCTTTCAAAAGGTTGAGAGACAGGTCCAGTGACAGAAAACAGCCAAGTTTTACGGTCATCTGATTGACTGAGCAAGTTCACTGCTCATTGTATTGGGGATCTTTGGTCAATCGGACAAAAGTTGGATAAGGGAAGCAATTAAATCATAAGAGTAATCCACTTCCCATGTTGGTCCATTTTTCTCATCTGGTCTGGAAGCCTTAAGTCTGAATGATACAGAATCATACTTCTTAATTATGGCAAATGATTTTTCTCCACATTCGTTACGGCTCATAACATAAAGATCTGTAACTTTAGCCAGTGAGGTGACATTTTAAAGGCCTATTAAAGTTCTCATAAACAGTAGTCACAAATTATTAATTACCAACAACCAGTGGCCTGCCCTCTTGAAATGGTTTCACTTTTCTAGAACCAGTTAATTGGTGTGTACTTTCTATGACATCTATATAAAGTGACATCAGCCATTCTGACAGACATCTGGTTTTGCCCTTTCTAATCTGACACATAGTCACCTGTCACAAAATGACTGCTCTCAGAACAGGAGTCCTCCTCAGCCAAGTCTGAGGCTCATGGTTGCGTGTGCTTTTACTGGAACATCGTCTTGGTTGTTGTGTTGCTGTTCTTGTGGAATGTCCCCAACCTCCCTTTCTCTGCCTCATCTTTCTGTTCACTAGATGAAGGCTGATATTCTTCCTAACTTGGGATAACACCATGCTTTCTGTAGCCATGTGAGCTGAAAACCAAACCTCCATAGACCATTTCCCCCTCCCTGTTCCCTCCAGCCTCACCCCTAGCATGACTTGGGAGAAGTAACTCCTTTCACCTGGCATGAATTCTAACTCAACATACATCTCCACTCGTGAAGTCGTAGGAGATGTACTGTGGAATGTGCGTGTTGCTCTGGACCCCCAGGACTAACCACTGCCTTGTCTGCATTTACGCCCAGGTCATACCCCGGCCCTGGCTTGTGCTCCTAATAAAGACGTGGCTGACTGCCTGGCCCTCATTCTGGCTACCATGATGCCTTTTTCTCCTTCCAGTACAATGGCGGCTGTCAACTTCGTTTGTTTTAAAAAAGACAATTTGAGCAGGACAACCCTCTCCAATCTGGGGAGCATGGTTAGCCTGTGCAGTAACAACGTAGGCTCGGAGGATGGTTACAATGAAAACGATTCTGATTCTGAAACATTCTGACTTTGGACTATACAAGCTTTTCTTTGGTCACCTGTGTTGCAGGAAAGGAAAAAAGCTTGAATTCCAGGTTTTTTGCTCTGTTCAAGTATTTGGGGCCCAAGTTTCTAGAAGCCAGTAGAAAAAGAGTCAGCCCAGCCCAGAGAGGGCAGCTAGGCTGTAGGCAAAAATACACACAGATGGGTCTGGCTTTTGTTTGCTTCATGTTTTCTTTAGCTCTAAGGTACTTCTGTGAAAGTCTACTTCTCATTTCAAGTCAAAAATTTCAAAGTATTTAATTCTTTTGCTTTGAGTATAATGCAACAGAGAGGCAACTATTCACTATAAATTTTTTTTTTTCACGTACTCGGTGAATTCTGTGAGATCTATTGAGGAGGCATTCATATCCTCTGGGAGGGGAGGGAAGAAGTGGATAGGAAATGCCTGGAACCGATTCTCACTTTGATGTTTACTTCCTCAGTAGCAGCCAAAGGTAAAGGTGTTCATCTTCAGACATAATGCCTATAATTATCTTCTTAAGGGAGTCCAATTCTTTCTGTCCTCTCTATAGTAAGCACTTAAATATCCACAAATTTTGTCCAGGGATCTTTGTTAAAGTTGCCAAATGAATGGAAAAATTGATCATGCTTTTTCATTAAACACAGACACAGCACCCAGGGCTCTCCATATGAAATTTGTGACTGATTTTTCACCTGAGTGATTGATCCCAATTTATCTAATAACATTTCAGTTGAATTATATTGCACCAAAACTATGAGATAATATGCAATTCGAATATGAAATTATCCTTTTGTTAGTTTGTTCCTAAATGAAAATATTACTTTGTAAGGCATCAGAATCGTCAACACTGTCCATCAATGGTAAAATAAAAAATGAGTTTCTCAGTCAAGGTCATATCAACTGAGTGACAATATGGCTACAGAAGGGAATTAAGAAAACAAAAATAGAAAGTAGAATTGAATGATGTGGAAATGAAAGCCAATTGCCAGATGTTTGGTGATGAAATCAGCATTGTGAATACTATGTCTGCTCCCTCTGCCTAAGCTTCTAGGTTGAATGGACCCCGTTCTGCACCTGGGACAGCTGTACAAAAAGAAGAATGAGACTTTAAAAATTATGCACAGACACATGCACACATATGTGTATATTTGTATGTACTTCATCCACCAGCTATCCATGAGGACCAAAATGCTTCTCCCTGTAAAATGGGAGATTTTCTTTCTTTCAAAATGCAAATAAAAACCATAGTAGTTTTTCTATGGGGTTAAAATGTACTCTTTTTGTGTGCCAGTCCTTATCATATTTTATATTTCCTATAACTCAAGTTTCTAGTTGATGACTGAACATTTGTAATAGATGATGTTTTGACCACAGGTGTTTGGTTTTGTTTTTTTTTTAACTAGAGGAAATGTCTGTACACTTTTGGTGTAAATGTGTTTATATTTATTTGAAATGAAACAAATGCTGAGGAACTATCTTCTGTTTTTTTCCTCTATATTTTAATTGATATGTATCTTATTTGTAATAACAAAAAAAATGGGGATGTACCCTTGACCTTGGGCCAGCCAACAGCTCTGGAGTTAAATCCAGCATTTCCACTACTAAGGTTTCAAATCAACCCTCAGGTTCATCCATTGCTCAGTCCCACTCTGTAGCCAGCTTAGAGCTCTCTGTGAGATGAAAAGTGATATGGCAGATCATATGCACAAAGGTGGCTCAAAGAAAGACCCAGAGTTTATCCTAACTACACTGAAAATGTTACATGGTCCTGATAACCTAATGGGAAATGATGCTACATGTGGGCACTGTGCCCAGGAAAGAAATAAAAAACCAGCCCAAGTGCCATTCTGCACTTGAAGAAGATTCAGAAAAGAAATATGCAGTGTTAAGGCAGTACTTTCCAACATTTTACAGTAGGTTCCGCATCTTCATCCTGGAATTTTCTATTTATAGTATATGTGAGATACTTTTGTAAACAGTGTTCTATGACATCTGGATCAGATCCAGATAATGTATTATCTTTTTCAGCAAGCTGTAGAAGACTTTTACCCTTACTCTTTTAATATCCTGGATTTAATTAAAACTCACATTCAGTTCCTCACAAATGAAACCTTGTTTGAAGGTCTCATAAAACTGGTATCTATTTCATCAAAAAAAAAAGAAAAGAAAAAAAAATTACACCAGCAACATTTTTTTTTTTAATTCTTCGTGTGGTTTCCCTCCTTCTTCTGTTCTTTCTGTTTAGAGCAGGTACCTTTTTTAAAAAAGTAGAAAAATTGCCAATGAGCAGCAATGACCTTATCTTTACTGAAACACTGAAGATTCAGGGAGCTGTCATGTTGAAGAAGCCTTATCTAGCCTGGGCCTTGTCTCCATGGAGCTGAGCTCTAAGCTCCAACCTGTTTTCTGTTAGAGGGAGGACAAGGAACAAAATGAAATCAGGCTTACCAAGAGCCATTCTTCTGAGCTCGTCTCTTGCTCCTTCTCTGCCTCTATTTTTACCTCCCAAATTTTTAAAGACATGTATTTAAAACTATAATTTCTGTGTATTTCAGTTATCTCTCATAAATAAACTTATATTTGAAGCATAACATTCCAAGGGGAAAAAACAACAAAAAATGTTTTTATTAGCATCTTAATTGCTTAATACTTTGACCTGAATGTGTTATTTTTAGACTATATTTTAACCACAGCTACAAGGACCATGTTTCACTGGACTTACCTATTCGCTGATGTCTGCCTATCTTTGGTCTATTCATTACTATCTCCAAATTGCCTAAAGTCTGCTATGATTCTACAGTAAATAGCTCAGGGGATTTCTGTTCATCAGTACTAAAAGGGCACCATAGTACATTTTGGTACCTCTGGCAGTAAACAGCTGCTTGACTTATTTTATTATTATATTAAAACATCAAATGGATTTTCTGCATTAGCCATTCTTTGTACTGGTTAAGCAACTTGGTTTGCTTATCTATTGTGTTGGTCAAAGAATCATCCTTTTTCTTTGTCTTGGAACATGAAGTTAGAGTGCCTTTTTACATTTGTATATTCTGGAAATGTTCTGTGAAATGTTTTGTATTTTTTTCATTTGAGTGTTAATCAGAGCAATATAATACCAGTGAGTTTTTCTTTCTACCCTTCTTTGAATGTACAAAGTGTCCTCTTTCCTATTTCCCCTTTTCTCTGCTTTGAAATTAAAATGCTAAAGTTTTCTATAGGAATTATGTTGGATTTTGCAGTGCTAAAATGCTTTCTTCTTGCAAAACTGTAAACCATAGGTCAGTATTATAGGGGAACAGCGTTTTAAGATAGTGACAATCCAAGTGTGTGTATAAATGTAATTCTATGTGTTTCTTATGCAGTGATCTGAAGATTCAATGCAAGTACCTTTCCTTTGGGAGTTTTGTCTACAGACTCTATGCTTTAGCATGTGCAATATATCTTTGCAAAGCACGAGGATACAAATCTGGCGCCAGTGTTATATTTTGTATAACAAATTTGTAACAGCATAAGATATTATCTGATGATTTCAGTAGGATTTTGTCTATAATTTTTAAATGTAAATTGGAGTTGAATGACTCTGGTAAATGTCATGAGTGTAAAAAATGAGGAAAATGGCTTTCTTTTCAGTGAATGACTTCAAACCAGTCTGAGTCTTCCCAAGCACAGTTTAATACTTTTGCAACTACTGAATGCTCTAGTAATGTAATGAAGTACTTAACTGTAATATGCTATGGAAATGCATTCAGATGGTTATTTTTAATAAAAACGGTACAAATATTGTTGCAAGTTGTGTTTTCTTTTCTTTTTCAAATTTATGCTTTAAAAAATTATGCTAGTTTAAATCTTTGTCCTCCCCCTCAAACCAAATTAAATTCCGAAAATAATCAAGAAAGAAATCTACAGATTGGTTGGTTCTACTTACATTATCACAATTAGAGAAAAAAAAATTCAAGCGTCGATGTCTATGTTCATTATATTTACTTATGCCTCCAACATTTTTCTAAAAGGATTTCAGCTGTGTTATAACAAGATTTGTTATAAGCCAGAAGTAGACAAATCAGCATATGGAAAGAGGATGCAGTTATGGGAACCATAAAACATGACACAGTAGCTTTGACTGACATTTACTTTGCTCTAACCTTCCATAGAGGCAAGGTAAGAGGGAAATGTCATCAGTGACAAGTTCACCTATCAGGCAGGAGAAAGTCAACCACCTCCTCAAAACTGTGAAGCCAGTTGGCTGTGTTGCTGTCACCCCTCCCATTTGCTGTTTCATGCCAACACAAGAATCCACCTCTGCACTAGCCCAAAAGGATCCATAGAATTTGCTTCCCCATCTGTCTTACCATCCTAGATTTCTCTCCTGGAGTGTCAAGGACAGCTCCTGGAAAAACTGAGAAACCAATTCCTAATTGTGGAGTTTCTAGCTAATGAGAAAGAGATTCAGGGGTGTGACTTGCCTGAGTTCCTCAGATCACAGTATCATAGAATATGTCATAGTCAGTTTTTTCATGAAGAGAAGTTAAACAACATGCTCAAATTTACAGAGCTAATGATCTCACCTTACATTTTATGCCTCTAGTTACTCTCTCTTCTGTACCATTCTGAAATATATGTTTGTGTTTTTTCTACCAGAGATGTTCAAGAAAGTTTTGTATTCAATCCTGCCTCATTCTTTATTCAAATGTGTTTTTCAGACTGTAAGTCATGAAGCCTTTCACAACTGAGTGCTTTCCTGCCGATTGAGAGTGAACTGAGTATGTTAGTTTTCTATAGCTGTGTAGCAAAATGACCCCAAAACTCAGTGTCTCAAAATAACAAATGTTTATTCTGTCATAGTTTCTGAACCTGTCATGGTTTGCTTAGGTCTTCTGCTGCAGGGTCTCTCATATAGTCCAGAATTGGCCCACTTCCAAGCCTGCTCACATGGTACTTCCAAGCCTGCTCACATGGTTGTTCATCGTGGCTTATTGGAATGAGGGCCTCAGTTCTGCAGGGTCTCTCATATAGTCCAGAATTGGCCCACTTCCAAGCCTGCTCACGTGGTTGTTCATCGTGGCTTATTGGAATGAGGGCCTCAGTCCCTGGTTCTTGACAGCTATTGGCTGCCTTTGCTGAGCAGACATTTCTAAGGTGCAGCTCACAATATAGAAGCTTGACCTTAAGAGAACAGATAAACCTAGAAAATTCAGAGAGAGGGTGAGAGAAGGAGGGAGAGAAAGAGTACAAAACAAGTCTTTTTCTGTAATGGAGTCTTGAAAGTGATATCCCATCACTTTCTTCATACTCTGTTCCTTAGAACCAGTTCCCAGGTCCAGCCTATACTTAAGGGCTGCAGCTAAAATTCCTTCTGGGAGGTGCACACCACGTCCGGCCCCTTCCTCTCTGCCCTTTGGTCCCTGTGCTTGGGAAGACTCAGTGAATTTACTAGACTTTGTAGCTAAAAATTCCCTCCCAGAGGTGTAAACAAGCCACACCCCCCACCACTTGTTTTCCCAAACTACAGTTTGGGAAACCAGGAGGAGTTTATTGGGCTTACTTACAGAGCAATGAGTGAGGGGTTTACTTATGGGTCCTCCCTCCCCCAAGGCCGAACTTTCTGGAAAGTCTCCAAGCATGGACAGTGACTTCCCCACAGCCCCACAAAATGGTTAGAGAGCCTCCCCTCCACCTCCTCTGTTTCTGTACTCTTAGCTCCTCCCCCTCAGGCAACTAGGACTGACAGGTTGTGAAAAGGAGAAAGAGGGTCCCCTAGAGTGTTCTTAGTCTCATTCATACAAGAATTTAAGGATGGACCCAAATGGAAGCTTTTACAATTTTATTAGAATCTTAAAGAAAAATCCTCAGGGCAGGTGAGCTGGCAATCTTGGCAGCTGCCTTGATGTGAATGGTGGGAAGGAAAGAAAGCCATGGAGCCATGCAGGTTTAGAGCCTGCATGGAGGTCAGACACGTGGCTGACTCACAGCCACATGGCTGGGAGAAGGAAGCTTTAGAGAAAAAGTGAAGAAATACAAGATGATAGGGGCAGCCCAAAGCCTTAAAGAAAGAAATTATGCTTTCCTGAAGAGTTCAGGAAAGCGAATAGACTTATGGAAACCTACATGGCTGTGGCTGGTCTGGAAGTTCTGCAGGGGTCTGAGCTAGTTCCAGACAGGAAATATTCACTACCTTATTAACATACCAGGTATTCTGCCCATCTATTTAGCATAACTTAAGGTGACGCTGCCTTCCTGGGAGTGGTTCTATCACCAGGTAATTGACCAGTGAGACTGGAAAAGTAGGTCCTCCAACAGAGAGACTAGACATTTTTATAGTCTGGACCAGTTCAATTTATGGGGCTTATTGATATTCTAACAGTTGGTTGGGAGGTAAGGCAGACTCTCTCTGCCCCTCCTTCTTGTGGCGTGCAGTAGTCAACAAGCTTGGCCGTGATGGCAAGAAGATGCAACCAAGCTTGGGCAGAAGACATCTGTCCGTGGTCTGTCTTTCGGAGGACAGTCCTATGCAACAAGGGCAGAGGATTGCTGAAGGTGTTTATATCAAGAGGCAGAAATCATTGAGGGGCTTATCACACTGGTCTACCACAGTGTCCTTTGAGCATACATCATTGTACTAGAATACCTCCCCAGTAATGGCTGTGGAGATCACTTACTTGACTTCCTAAATTCCTTTCAAGAACATAGAGATCCCTCATTTTGCTTGGGCCCTCACAAGCAAGTAAAAAAGGATTAAGGCCCTCTGCTGTAGTGTAGTTATTGTCAAATGTTAATGCCACATTCTGTCTCCAAACTGCTGGTCAAAAGATCCCTCTCTGTCATTCCATTCAGTAGGTTTAGATCCTGGTACAGCCGTCATTCACTTATGGCTTAGTGTGTTTCAGAATTAGCTTGCAAGTCTCAAAAGCTTTCAGCTTAGAAGCCTATTGACATGAAAACATTGTGGGTAAAGGTACTATAGGAATTGTCTCAAGCAAATTTCATTCTGAAGGTGCATTTGCTGTAAACTATAAAGCAGCAGATGGCTGTGTCATTTATTAGTTCTCAAGCTCCAGGAAGTAGTTGGAAATGTGTGGACATTTGTGGTTGACCTAATGGCTGGGGCTGGAGAGTGGGAGGGACGGCTGGTGCATTTACTATTCTGAGGCCTAGGGCTACCAACTATGCCGCCCAGGCCAGTAACCAGCCATTCTGCATCGTACCCATAATGCCAATGACCCCCTACACCCCTGTTCATCTACTTACTCTTCTTTCTTCATCAGCATATTACCTGTGAAGCCAGTAACATTTCTTTATGTCCACAAGGAATTGTATAAGCATGCTATTATATGTGTTCCATCATTAGGAGAACTTACAATCTTATGAAGAACAAGTTCAGAAGGCAAGGCTAAGCCAATATGCTCTGCCTGGCTCCCCAGGAGAGATCACATTCAAGTGAGTAGACAAGGGAGAAGCTGGATGAATTCAAGATGAGTATTATTTCCTTTATTAGTAAACACACACATATCCCTTATCTTAAACAAGGGTGATTCTATCTACTTTTCAGGTGGGGAAACTTCTACTCACAAAGATTGGGGCACTTGGCCAAAGGTCATACAGCAAGATCTAAAAAAATAGCACTATGGTCTCATATGGTTCTCTAGACACTGGTAGACACAGTCTCTGCTTTTAAGTGACATTTTAATAGAATGTATTTAAGTTCTGGAAAGAATTTATAATCTTCAAAAGAAAAGGTATTCAAGTGTTTAGGGCACAAAAAACTTACCTGTGTTTATATTTACTTGATGTAGTGTCCAGGGGTCTTTGCCTGGACTGAGTGCTTTCAGGTTCTTGGTATCTTTTTCAAAGATTGAAGAAGTGTACACAAGTTGCAAAGTAGTAGGGGATTTTATTCAGAAGCAAAGTAAATGCATGGAATAGCTACACTGCAAAAGAGCAAGGAGTTCTGGGTGAGATTTGCTCAAGAGCACCTGGTTTCTTTTGAGGGCTATCCTTTATGAGCCTAAGAGGAAGAGGAGCTGGTTGCTTAGGGGTGAAGCACGAGTGGTTTCATGTTTTGATTGACAGGTAAGCCTTTGTTCACTGCACACATCCTTTCCCACGATGTATCTGATTTTAATTATATGCACACCCAATCATGCATAGGCATAAGATGGTAAATAAGGGTTTTTCCCTAAAAGTTCATTCGAAGGACACTATGTGCCTTACTGCACACACACCCAAAACTAGTCAGGCTGGATTGGCTCATTTTCCTGAGTTTCAGGATATGTTTTAAGATGTATTTGGGCCACAAAAAAAGTTAACAAAAGAGTGCTAGGGAGGAACAGCTCAGCGTCTTTTGGAGCAGGATGTATGTGCAGCTTGACACAGATGGGCTCGCAGGTTGTTAAGGGTGTTGCTAAGAAAGGGGTGTGTATGTGAAACTCAAGCCAAGTGGGGTTCTATGTCACTAAGCTTATATTTCTCCTACTTCTCATTCTTGTTAAGGGAAACACTACTATGTAGCCCAGCCTGGTTGGCCTTGAACGCTCCATCCTCCTGTCTCAGCCTCCTGAGTTCTGGGAGTACAAGTAACACCACCATACCTGGCATAATTACTGATCATTCTTTTAAGTAAATATTTTATTTTTATTTTATGTACATGAGTGTACAGCCTGCACGTATGTAAGTGCACCAGTGTTGTGCAGTGCCCACAGAGATCAGAAGAGGGCATCGAATCTCCTGGAAATGGAGTTAGGGATGATTGTTAGTTGCCATGTGGGTGCTGGGAACTGGACTGGGTCCT